AGGCTTGTTGTGGCCTCGGGAGCACCAGCGCGTGGTAGTTGTAAAGGCACTGCGGCCTCGGGCCATGACGCACAACCAGCTCGCGCGAGCCTGGCGCACAATGTACGAGGCTTTGTTGTGGCCTCGGGAGCACCAGCGCGTGGTACTTGCAAAGACATTTCGGCCTCGGGCAGGGCTGTTCAAGGATTGCGGCCTTGGGGGCGCAAGTCTGCTGCACATTTGCGGGAGAGGGGTGGGGAGGCGGAGGAGGAGGGGGAGGGGGAAGGGGAGGAGGGGGAGAAGGAGGAGGACGAGGAGGAGGAGCAGGAGGAGGAGCAGGAGGAGGAGCAGGAGGGGAAGGAGGAGGAGGAGGAGGAGGAGGAGGAGGAGGAGGACGGAGGAGGAGGAGGGAGGAGGAGGAGGAGGAGGAGGAGGAGTAGGAGGAGGAGGAGGAGGAGGAGGAGCAGGAGGAGGAAGAGGAGGAGGAGGAGGAGGAGGGAGGAGGGAGGAGGAAGGAGGGAGCAGGCCTCGGGGGCGCCCATGCGCGGTAGTGCGCACGAGACCGTGGCTTCGGAAGCACAAGCCTGTGGCAGCTCACTAAAAATAGAGCGGATGAGCCCCCCCCATCTGTCGAGCCCCGAGTCCTGTGCGCCTCGCGTCTCCGGGGAAGAGCGCCCGATGCTCCAGGCTGCAGGGGGCATGGGCAGAACTGCAGTCGAACTTGATGGGCCAGGACGCGCGAGAGGACACAAGACCCTTTCGAGGGCCACATTGCCACAGGCATGTCGGAGGCATGGGCCGCGAGACACAGGACACAAGGGTACCCGTCGGTCGGAAGAAGCAGGTAAAAACATGAAGAAAGATGCGAATAATGTGGATTGGGTCCAGGCCCTCCCAGAGAATAACAGGACACAGCAACAGCGTGTCGATTATTGAAGTAGGGAAGCGCTTGAAGTAGAATTGGATCTGGGAGTCCAAAAATACCTACTTTCAACGACCAGACTGTGGCTTCGGGGGCACACCCTTGTGGCAACTCCCACCAACAAAAGACGGTGGCTTGGGGAGCGCGAGTCGGATACAATGTGCGGAAGAGTATGTTCTGTGGAACGCGTGTCTGGCGCAACTTGTGAAATCCAGAACCCGGATAGCGACGCAGCCCCAGGGCTTGAAACGCCTTTGGGAGACGCTTGTAAGGACGCTGGAAAGCATGCTCGGGGAGCTTGCCAGCTTGAGAAAATCCCCCTGGGAAACGCTTGCCAGGACACCCGGAAGCATGCCTGGGGAGCTTGCAACCTTCGAAAGCAAGCTTCGAAGGAGCTTCGAAAGTGCCTCGAAAAAGCTGCGGAACGGCTTCAGGCAAACGTATTAGGAAGGAGTCGGAAAACGCTTCTCGGGACAGGCTGCGAGATATTAAAAGCATTCCCCACATGTCCCATATTTTCTGGGTTTCTGTCTTCCCCCCACTTCCAACATTTTCGCATATTTTCTGGGAGTCGACGAATAATTGTGTCTGTGTGTTTTTTCCCTCCTGATAGTCATCGACCCCCTCTTGGCCGCCCCCGACCTTGGAGAGGAGCGGGCGCAGCCCTGCCTGCCGGCTTCTTATCTGGAACCCCCTGAGCTCTCCAGGGAGCTATCCGGGAACGTGCAAAAACGGAGCGCTGGCCTCGGGAACGCGAGCGCGTTGAGGCGCGCGGCCTCTGGAGCGCCGGCACGCATAGCTATTCGCAAGGGGGGAGTCTTGGCTCGGGGGGCGCGAGCCTGGCGTGATGTGCGAGGTGTTGTCGCTTGGGGAGCGCGGGACAGGTGCAGGTTGAGAGGAACTCGGGCCTCCTGAATTCGAACCGGGCATGGTTTGCGAAGGATTGTGGGTCGGGGGCGCTCCCCGAGCCAAAATCAGTAGAAAATGAATTCAGGTTCGCACTCCCGAATTCACAATCCTTCAAACAATGCTACACATTTCCACCATCGAATCCGCAATCCAATTCAGCATCCAATGAACGTGCACTCCCGAGGCTACAAATCCACCCCGCGGAAGCTGCCAAAAAACGCCATACCCTTTGTAGAGAAGCAAACTGTCACTCCCCACACAGCACACTGGGATTATGACTTGTCTTACCCAATGATTGGTTGGGTCCGTGGAGGTTTCGCACCGTTGCCGCCTGGTTGCCGTCCACTTGGAGGGTCCGTGGAGGTTTCCCCCAGTCGCCGCCCGTTGCCGCCTCGTTGCCGCCCACCCAGGGCGCCCACTTGGGGGGAGGACCGTGGAGGTTTTCCCAAGTCGCCGCCCGCCTGCCTCTGGGGCGACCAAAGGGTACCCATACCGCTACTCCCCAGACCTCCCCCGGGCTGCGGTCTGACCAGGATCTCGAGGCGAATCCAGCGGTGGCGACGAGGGCCCCCCAGGAGGCCGACAACGGTGGAAAACGGGCGAGGGGTAGAGGTGTGGGTACCTCTTCCCCCTCCGAGCCTCGCTGCCGCCCCCTCGGGGGATCCGTGGCCGCGTCGCCGCCAGCTGCCGCCTCGCTGCCGCCCACTCGGGAGGGGCTCCGCCGAGGCTTCACAACGTCTCCGCCCGCTGCCGCCGCGTGGCCGCTCACAAGGAACCTCAGGGGAGGCCGGCGGCGGAGGGCGAAGCCCCACAGATACACAACACCAAGAACAGCAGCAACAACATCAGCAGCAGCAACAACAGCAACAACAGCAAAAACAGCAACACCAGCAACACCAGCAACAGCAGCAGCAACAACAAAAACAACAACAACAGCAACAGCAGCAGCAGCACCAGCAGCAGCAGCAACAACAACGACAATATCTCCCACAGCAACAACAACCACAGCCACACCAACAGCAACACCAACAACAACAACAACAACAACAACAACAACAGCACCACCAACAACAGCACCACCAACAACAACAGCACCAACACCAACAACAACAACAACAACAACAACGACAACGACAACGACAATCATGATAACAACAACAACAACGACAACGACAACGACAACACCAACGACAACAATAACAACAAACACAACAACAACCACAACAACAACAACAACAACAATTACTAGCACGTGGGGACACACCGTTCTCACCAGTGCCAGGGTTGTCATAGGAGGCGGGCAATACCCCCACTTTGTGGGGGGGCCGGTTCAAGCTCTACCAAATTTCCAAACGACTCTTCGCCACCACCCACACCCAGCTTCCCGCCCTATGACGTTCGGACACTTCACTTCGTGGCATGCGGACGACCGTGGCTACTATTCAGGGCCCCGCGGCCGACGACGACGGCGTGCGCGCGCGAAGAAAAAACGAATGTGTCCCGCATGGTATTATTTGACAGGGATGATGGCCCTGGCAGGTGCGCAACCGTTGTTGCAGAAGTTCGAAAAAGTTGCTCGCAAAAGCCCGTTTGACAGAAATGATTAAAAAGTGTTGGGTTTCCTACGAATCCGCAAGAGCGCGCGGGATGAAATTTTGACAATTTTTGTTTGAAAAACCATTGGTTTTTTGATGTTTTTATGTTAAAATCGCTACGAACACTAAGGTTTTGGAAGGATTTCGTCTTGCGCGCGCGAATGTCCACTTTACCTTATTTTTTGCAAGGGATTCTTGAAGTTTGGTTATGTTAGAACAAGAAATGTCCACTTTGCTTATTTTTTGCAAGGGAAAACCGATCGTAACAACACAACCGGATCTGGATCACATCGTTTTACCTGAGACTTCCTCACGAAAATGATGAAAATGAGGCTGCGGCCTAGGCGCGGCGAGGGGGGCGTGCACCAGGGGCCCAACAATAATTATTCTTTAGAAGTAATAATATTCAAACAACAACCACACACAAACACAACAACAACCACCACCACAACCAACAACAACAACAACAACAACCAACCAACACCACCACAACACCACACACACAACAACAACAACAACAACAACAACAATCATTTAAGACTGGGGACACTCCGTTCTCACCAGTGCCAGGGTTTTCATAGGAGGCGGGCAATACCCCCCACTTTGTGGGGGGGCCGGTTCAAGCTCTACCAAATTTCCAAACGACTCTTCGCCACCACCCACACCCAGCTTCCCGCCCTATGACGTTCGGACACTTCACTTCGTGGCATGCGGACGACCGTGGCTACTATTCAGGGCCCCGCGGCCGACGACGACGGCGTGCGCGCGCGAAGAAAAAACGAATGTGTCCCGCATGGTATTATTTGACAGGGATGATGGCCCTGGCAGGTGCGCAACCGTTGTTGCAGAAGTTCGAAAAAGTTGCTCGCAAAAGCCCGTTTGACAGAAATGATTAAAAAGTGTTGGGTTTCCTACGAATCTGCAAGAGCGCGCGGGATGCAATTTTGACAATTTTTTTTTGAAAAACCATTGGTGTTTTGATGTTTGTATGTTAAAATCGCTACGAAAACTAAGGTTTTGGAAGGATTTCGACTTGCGCGCGCGAATGTCCACTTTACCCTATTTTTGGCAAGGGATTCTTGAAGTTTGGTTATGTTAGAACAAGAAATGTCCACTTTAGCTTATTTTTTGCAAGGGAAAGCGGGGGACAACAAAACAACCGGATTTTTGCCTGAGACTTCCTCACGAAAATGATGAAAATGAGGCTGCGGCCTAGGCGCGGCGGGGGGGGCGCGCACCAGGGGTCCCAACAATAATTATTCTTTAGAATTAATAATGTTCAACAACAACCACCACAACAACAACAAAAGGCCTCCAAGACGCCCCCAAGAGGCCAAACAGAGGCCCCAAGGGGCCCCACATTGGCGCCCAGGAGCCCCCAGAGAGGCTTCGAAACTGCCTCCAAGAGGCCAACGACCAGACGCGTCAAACTCCCAGGGGGTGGCCGGTGATGCGCCGCTGGCGTTCTCGATACACAAACACACACACACACACACACAAAGAGTTGTTTTCCGTCGGCGGCGAGGCAGAAGAGCTGCACCAGCGGTGAGCGAAAAACGCAGAAACAAACAACAAGCAAACCAGACAAGAGCAACAGAAAAACGTTGGGCTCCACCTTGGCCTCCGCCATCTCGGCGAGCAGAGACAGCGCCAGCTGCCACTGCCCACACACCCCACACGCGCTGACTCCGGCGCTGTAGCTCACGACGCTGGGCTCCACCCTCGCCTCCCGCATCTCACCGAGCAGCGCGACTGCCTGCCGCCACTGTGCGCCCTCCTCGCACGCGCTGATCGCGGCGCCGTAGCTGACTGGTGAGCCCGAGACGAAAGGGGCCCAGGGTCACATGAATAGACAAACATCCCAGGATTCCCCATATCTGCTTACTTTCTTCCCCTCCAGAGGAGAAGGAGGAGGAGGACGAAGAGGAGGAGGAGGACGACGACGAGGAGGATGAGGAGGAGGACGAGGAGGAGGAAGAGGAGGAGGAAGAGAAGGAGGAGGATGAGATGGAGGGGGAGGAGGGGGAGGAGGGGGAGGAGTAAAGGAGGAGGATGGGGAGGAGGAGGAAGCGAAGGGAGGGAAAAGGAGGAGGAGAAGGAGGAAAAGTAACACGAGGAGGATGGATGATGATGAGGAGGAGGAGGGGGAGGAGGAGGGAGGAGGAGGAGGAGGAGGAGGAGGAGGGAGGAGGAGGAGGAGGAGAGGGAGGAGGAGGAGTGAGGAGGAGGAGGAAGGAGGGAGAGGAGGGAGGGAGAAGGAGGAGGAGGAGAAGGAGGTCGAGGGGGAGGAGGGGGAGGAGGAAGAAGAGGGGAGGAGGAGGAGGATGAGGAGGAGGAGGAGGAGGAGGAGGTCGAGGGGAAGGAGGAGGGGGAGGAGGAAGAGGAGGAGGACGACGAGGAGGAGGCTCTCCTCCACACCCCCGAGCCCTGCCGCTGCCGCTGCCTGCCCGGCGGCGCCCGCGGTCGCGGGCGCGCCTGCAGAAAGCCGGCGGGCCGCGACCCGGGCATGGAGCACGCGAGGTCGGGAGTACGATGGGAGGCACAAGGACATACAGCGCCGAGGGAGGGCGCGACGGGGAGAGAGGGGGAGGTCACTCCCTCCTTCCGTCCCCCCTCCTCCACTCCCTCCACTTCCGCCCCCCCCCTTCCTTCCCCTCCCCCCCCCCCATCCCTCTCTTCCCCCCCGGAAGGTCCAGGCGGAGGACGCGGCTGCGTCCCGGGCGCCCGCTCGCGCGTTGGAAAGCACAGGGAGGCACTATGTTTCCTCCTCGGAGGCGTACGTCCGACCCGAACATATAATAATATACCATATATATATCCATAGTGTAGTAGATCGTTTCCCAAGCGATGCGGCAAGAAAGCGCCCGCCACGACGCATACACTATAGGAAATCTCGTTGCGAGCGTCGCCCCTGGGGGGGGCGACGCACATATGGTATGAGTATGTTGGGGTGACGCCGAGACGAGGAGACACGGTCGAGGAGGAAACAGATCTGCTGCGCTGGATTTAGGTCGGGCATGCCCCCCTACAGGCGGCTTTTGGGCTAAAAACAGAACATTGTCCAAACATACCCACACATTGTCAAACGAATATATTTGGACTACTTCTGAACCTTCCCCCTGTACAGAGACACGCCCGACTTAACGCTCGATCGGATCGTCAAATCGGATCGGATCGAGAGCGGATCGGATCGCCAGCGAATCGTCCCGAATCGGATCGGCATCGCATCGCCGCGCCCCGCTTCCGGCCGGCCCTGGCCGGTACTGGTGAACACGCGCGGCCCCAGCCAGCGGATCGAATCGCATCGAATCGCATTGCGCAGGTGGCACTGGGTCGGGCGTTGGCAGAACTGGGTTAAGTGGGACCTGGTTCAGCGATAGGTACTGGGAGACGCCCACCCCGCCCCGTTCCACTAACCGGAACTGCCGTCACCCGAAAAAACACCAGCTGCGACAGACCTGGTCTAGTGATTCTGGCCAATTTAAAGGCTCCAGGGCCCTGCTGCTAACCAGGTCCCCTTACCTGCGGTCCTGCCTATACCCGACACTGGGAGGGGGGGGGAGAGAGAGAGACCCGCGCAGTTGGGAGTCGGCGGAAGGGCGCGCGGGCGGCCTCAGCCGCCGTCTTTGAAGGGGCTCAGGGACATACAATGAATAGACACAAATCCCAGTATTTCCCGTATTGTTCCATATTCTCTGGGTTTTCGTCTTCCCCCCCACTTCCCATATTCTCTTAGATTTTGATAGGAATCGACGATGAATTGTGTCTGTGTTTTTCCCCTCCTGAATGTTGCATGTTAACTGACGTCGGGCTCCAACTTCACCTCCCGCATCTCGGCGAGCAGGGACAGCGCCGGCCACCACGCTGCGCCTTTTCCGCACGCGCTGATCCCGCCGAGGTATGTGACCCTCCACCTCCTCCGCCTCCTCCCCCTCCTCCTCCCCTTCCTCCTCCTCCTCCTCCTCCTCCTCCTCCTCCTCCTCCTCCTCCACCTCCTCCGCCTCCTCCCCCTCCTCCTCCCCTTCCTCCTCCTCCTCCTCCTCGTCCTCCTCCTCCGCCTCCCTCCCTCCTCCCCTCCCCTCCTCCTCCTCCTCCCCTCCTCCTCTCCCTCCTCCTCCTCCATCCTCCTCCTCCTCCTCCTCCTCCGATCCTCCTTCCCCCTCTCCTCCTCCCCTCCTCCCTCATCCTCCTCCCCCTCCTCCCTCCTCCTCCCTCCTCTTCCCCCTCCTCCTCCTCCTCCTCCTCCCCCCTCCTCCTCCAATACTCGACAAATAGTCGACAAATCGTCCCCATATCATTTTTTGTTCTGGGAATGCCTCCTGTAGAGGGACATGCCCGACTGATGTTGGGCCTGTTTTCCACCACCACTACCAGAAGTTGGAGGGGGAGGAGGAGGAGGAGGAGGAGGAGGAGGAGGAGGAGGACGAAGAGGAGGAGGAGGGAGGAGGAGGACCCCCTCCCACTCCAACTTATGGTGGTGGTGGTGGTGGTGGTGGTGGTGGAAAACAGGCCCCTCCACTGCAGCTCAAGGGCGTCCCGGGGCACCACCGCGGAAGCTTGCTCGGTCGACCTCCGTGCCCTGCGCGGGCGGGGGGCGGGCGGTGCGAGGCCAGCGCCCGGGAGCCTGCCAGAGCCGCCTGTCGTCCACAGCCCAACCCTGAGGCCCCAGGACGTCCACCAATGTGTATGGTGTGGGTACTAGATGCTCTCCTTGGAGGCGCGCGTCCGACCAAACATATAGTATACCCATCTTGTCGTAGATCGTTTCCCGAGCGGGGTGGCCAGAAAGCGCCCGCCTCGACACATATACTATAAGATTTCTCGGTGCGCGCATCGCCCCCCGAGGGGGGGCGACGCACATGTAGTAAAGTATGTTGGGGCGACGCCGAATGGCAAAACCATCGAAATCCAAGAAACCCAGGGCATACTGGAGGCGAGCAAGGCGTTTCTCGGCACGGGCCTCCACTGTAGATGCTGTCTGGCTCCAACCTCGCGCGCAACATCTCTTCGAGCAATGTCAAGGCCTGCTGCCATTGCCCGCCCTGCTCACACGCTTTGATCCCAGTGCTGGTGATGATGATGTCAGCATCCAGCTTCGCCTGCCGCATCTCGGCGAGCAGAGACAGCGCCTGCCGCCATGCACTGTTTTTCATGCACGCGCTGACCCCAGCGTTGTAGATCACGACGTCGGGCCCGAACGATGCACCAAAGTCGGTGAGTAATGACAACGCGTGCTGCCACTGCCCGCCTTTCTCGCACGCGCTGATCCCAGCGCTGTAGCTAAAGACGTTGGGCTTCAACTTGGCATCCAGCATCTCTGAGAGTAATGAGAGCGCAGGTTGCCATTGCGCACCTTTTGCACACGCGCTGATCCCAGCGCTGTAGCTCACAACGTCTGGTTTCAAGTTGACCTGCGGCAACTCGGTGAGCAACGACAGCGCCTGTTGCCATTGTCCACCTTTCTCACAGGCGCTGATCGCAGCGTTGTAGCTGATGATGTCTGGCTTCAGCGCTGCCTCGGGCATCTCGCTGAGCAACAAAAGTGCACGCTGCCACTGCCCGCCTTTCTCGCACGCGCTGATCCCAGCGTTGTAGCTGACTGATGTGAACCCGTGGATGAATCCACGGGTTGCTGAACCTGGAACTCGCAAACCGTAGATCTGACCCACAGAGCAGAACGTCGAAGCCGAACAGCTCGTGGAGCTCGTGGAGAGGACGGTGGGGGGACAGGAGACCTCGGAGCGCCCGAGCGTGCCGCGGCAGCGACCCCGAGGAGGGACTACGGTGAGCTCCTGTCGTGACGAGCTGCGCTGCTCCTAACACCGCATGGAACGCTCAGCCCTGCAGGATCGGCAGCTTTGGAATCGCGAGATCGTTGACGTCGGCCGATTCTGGGCCAGTGCCGGCGTTGGGCCCTTGATGCCAGCGCTGAGGCCGCCGCCGCGCCGACGCGGCGCGAATCGGTGACGAGGGCGATGCGCCTCGTTCTCCGGTGGCGTGAGACCTGGCAGGCAGCGGAGAGGAGGAACGGCACGAGGAGGAGGAGGGACAGAGGAGCGAGCGCTCCGGGAGGCGCGGAAATGCTTCTCAGGCGCGGCCTAACCGACCCCCTATGTGACGGGCGTTCCCGCGACGACCTCCCGCTCTGGAGGCCAACCTCTGGCTGCGCACGCGCACTTTTTAGAGGCGCGGATTCCGCCACTGAAGAGCGCTGGTCCGCTGGGGGTGGGCGGGGCCGTTCCTGAGCCACGTCCCGTCTGACTGCGAGTGGGGCGCCCGGTCCTCCAGTATGACCTGGACCCGATGCTCCACCATGCCGTTCTTGCTGCGGCGCACGCTTCACAAGTGGCCCTGCAGCACCTCCCCGACATTCGGAGCCTTTGGGGGGGGGTCTGTCTGGGGCCTCGGGAGCCACTCTTGGGATATTTTGGGTGCACATTGGGCCGCGTCGGGGGCATTTTGGATCAATATGCGAGGCAGTCTGGGGCCTCCGGAAGGCCTCTTGTAGTGTTTTGGACGCCACTGGGCTCGTTCCTGGGCTGTCTGGATCCACCACAGCCCTTTTTGGAGGACAGCCCTGTCAGCTTGTTTTGAGATCGCCTTGGAGCTTTCCTGAGCAGTCCTCGGGGCCCTCAAGGGCTCTGTGGGGACCCTCTTCGGGCCGTCTTGGAAGGCACATGTGGGGCTCGTCGGGGCCCCGCTTTCGGGCGCTCTTGCACCAGCTCGGCGCCCTCTTGGGCCGTCTAGGGCCTCCCTTGGGCGCCTGATGGGCTGTGATAGGCGCGATCTGGGGGCACTGGGAGCCGCCTGGAGCCTTCTTTGGGCGAAGTGGGGAGAAGCTGAAGCTCGTTCCACAACTATACGAAATCGACGCTTCTTGGCCAAGTGGGGCCATCACCGGGGACTCTTGCTTGAGGCCGTCGAACATTTGGAGGCTCGCTTCGGGTGCTCTGGTGCCTTCCAGGCGCTCCGTACCGTAGAGCGTTTCTGAGCCCTCTGGCGGCCGCTCGGGGCCGTCCAGGACCGCTGGGATCGCTTGGAGCTGCCCTGGCCCATGTTCACTGCAGCGCGCACTCGCGCGCACTGTGCCGAAAAGCGCAATGAAGATACGCTACGGCTGACCCGTGGATTACATCCACGGCATCTGCACGAACTGGCATGCGATTGGGGGAACCAAGAAAAAAGTACCCACACCGCTACTCCACGGACCTCTCCCGGGATGCGTTCTGACCAACATTTCGAGGCGAATCCAGCGGCGGCGACGAGGGCCTCCCAGGAGGCCCGAAAAGGAGGAAACGGGCGAAGGGTGGAGGTACGGGCTTCTTTTCCTCCTCCGAATCTGCACGCACTGGCATGTGATTGTGGACGTGTTGCCTAGAGGCTGAATTGTATGTCGGGCGTGTCCCCCTGCAGGCGGATTTTGGAAGACAAAACTCCAAACGTGGGGAACTATTCAAACATAGTCAGAAACTCGTCCCCAGACTAACCGACTACCCGTGATATTGAAAGCCTGGAGATAATAAGGTTCGACGCCTGGGGGGATGATAAACGATTTTCCCGGCGGTGATGATGATGATGATGATGATGATGATGATGATGGTGATCATCATCATCATCATCATCATCATCATCATCATCATCACCACCACCACCACCACCACCATCATCATCATCATCATCAGCAGCAGCAGCAGCATCAGCATCATCATCATCATCATCAGCATCATCATCATCATCATCATCATCATGATCCTGGGCGCTCGTGTAACTAGATCCTCGCACAAAACTGTCCTGGGCTCATCAGCGCCCTCTTGGCAGAGTTCAAAAAAACTACCCCCGTAGTAACCACCCCGACACGCGAAGTCGTTTAGTAAACACGCCCAAAGAAGGAATCGAACAGGGCAGGGCTGTTTGGTAAACGCCCAGGGCCGTTTAGTAAACGCCGATTGTCCGGTCCTGGTGGTTTTTCCTCCCTTGACTTGGGGCGCCTCGTGGAGCCCTCTTGGGCCGTGGTGGGGCCCTGCAGGGCCGTCTCGAGGCCATACTGGCGACCTCTCGGGCCTTCTAGAGGCGTCTCGGTCATCTGAGGCAATCTCGGAGCCCGCTGGAGGTCGCAGGGGGCCTGCCGTGAAGGCCGCTTGGGCGATCTTGGGGCTCTCTTTGGACGTCCGGGGGCCCTCTTGGAGGTCTGCGGAGCTTCCTGGGGACGATCTTGGGCGCCTTTGGGGCGTCGTGGAGCATCGGAAGCCCTGGGAGGCGGGGCCGAAATAGGCCCAAAAACTTGAGAGACTTCACAGAGATGGCCTCTCGGCACCCTCTTGGGGCGCTTCTAGGAGCTCTTGTTGGCCGTGTCTCGCGGCTGTCTTCAACCGACTTGGGGCCGTATGGAGCCCCTGTCGGCGACTACAAGGGGTGTGTTTTGCAAAGGGTGTGGTTTGCAACCGGTACCCTGGGGGACGTCCTGGGGGGCACCCTGGGGGGCGCGCGGGGACCTCGATAGGGTTCTCCCGCGCCCCGAAGGCCGGACGAGGACAGCGTCGTGCCCCCATTTGGAAGCCCGAAATTGGTACGGAAACAATGGGCACAATGCCCAACAACAAATGTTGTCCCAAACCAACAGCGGCCGCTAATGGGCAGGCGGCCTTCTGTCTCAAATGGACACGGACCGCGGCGGCGCGGACAGCGAGTCCTGTTCAAAATGAACAGGGACTGATGTTGGGCATTGTACCCGTTTTTTCCGTACCCATTTCTTTCGTGCCGACCCCAGACCCCAACGGTGCCGATCGCAAGCCACACCCCGGCGTAGCCATACCCGCTGTGGTCGCCGACCTGGAGCCGCCTTCGGCCCCGCGGGGCCTGCCGGGCCGTGCCAGGCTCGCCAAGGAGGCCCACTGGGGCCCGTCGGACCGAGTTTACCCAGTTGATCCTGGCATCAGCTCTTGCACGCGCAACTCCTGGCCATATAGGAGAGGAGTACAGTGGTGGCCTGTTTCCACCACCACCAAAAGTTGGAGTGGGGAGGGGGTGTTCCTCCCCCCCTTTTTCCTTTTCCTCCTCCTCCCCCTCCTCCTCCTGCTCCTCCTCTTTCTCCCCCTCATCCTCCACCTCCTGTCCCCCTTCCAACTTCTGGTGGTGGTGGTGGTGGAAAACAGGCCCATCATACAGTCGGGGTGGATTGAGAAGGACACGCGGGAGCACATAAGACTCGTCCGCGGGCCACATTGCCATCTGAGTGTAGAAGCATAGGTCGCGAGGAACAGGACACAAGGGTAGCCTTGATTTAGCAGGGTCGACCTACTAATCAGCCTCGGCTGTAAGGCTGACCCGTGGACTTCCGTCCGCGACAGCTTGCTCGAGTGCAAGGCTAGAGATCGCGTGCACACCTGCAGGCCTGCGTGCTGTCCTCCGCGCGTGGCCGCAAGCCTGCAGGTCTGGCAGCTTTCTTCAAGAGTATATATCCTTGTCTACGCGCCTGCTTGCTGTCTTGATATATCACTTGCTCGTCCTCTCGATGCCGCTGACTGCCGCTGGCCTCTGTTTAGTCATGATCGATGTTGGTGGTCGCTTCTGCTGCTACTGCCTGGTTCCTGTCGCCAGCTGCTGCTTACCGCGGCGTGCTGCTCATTGCTGCTTAGACATGATGCTGATCGCGCGTGCTGCCCCCAGCGTTATGTTTGTTGTTGTTGCTGCAGTGTGTGCCGAAGGCTAGTGTTGGCTGATGATAAGTATGGTAGCCTGCTTACCTGCCAGGCGCTTAGTAGATAGTGCTGGGCAGTTAGTCCATGCTGGGTGTTGCTAGTGCTGGGTGCTGGGCGTTGCTGGTTATGCTACCTGATGGATGTGAACAGTGCTGTTGGTACTGTGTGCTGACAGTCATGCTAACATGAGAAGTACGTCTTGATCAGTGAAGGTGCTGCTGATGCGAGCTGCCGCTGGCTGCTGCATCTTCACCCGCTCGCTGCCACGTACTGCCGCTTGCTGTTGCTCAGTTATGGTTACTGCTGTCTTAAAGTTTAAAGACGGGGCCTTGAAGGCGTAAGCCATGCACACTAACTTACGGGCAAGGCCAGACGGGACGGAGTTCCCGAGAGATGCCGAGCCCCTGAGAGCACTGAGGGCAGCGCGAGCCGACTCACCAACAGGAGCAACAGGCGCGAGCCTCACTGATGCAACTCTCACTCACTCACGGACAGCGGCCGCAATGCGCCCGACGGCGGCGCCCCCCGCGGCTACCGAGCGCCCCCAGCGGCCCCGCACCGCGCTGGCCGCAGGCCCAGCCTTGCGGATCAAGCCAAAATCCACACCCGCGGCACGGGGGCGGCCCTGCCCGCGCGCACTGCGCATGGCCCCAGGAGCTCGCACTCGGCCCTCATGCACTGTTTGTCCCGCGCAGGCGGCGCTCATGCTGAGGTTCCTTGCCTGCAAGGTCCCACAGAAAGTCCAGCCCTGCGCCACCCCGCACCCTCCAGGCTGTCGCGCACCGTGGAGCCTCGAAGCGCGGACGGCGGCCTGGGCCACACTGAGGGGGCGGTCGCTGAACGCGGAGGAGGCGGCCCACTTCCAGCCCAGCGCCCCTTGCCGGGAGGTGAACGACTCGGTGGCCAGGCCCACGAAGCGGAGGACACGCGGCCTCTGGTAGAGCACGTGCAGACCTCGAAGTACCCGTAGGTCTACGCCATGCTCGACTCCGCACCGCCACAGGAAGTCGCGACGCAGGCTCACGTAGAGCCCAGCGATGTCCAGGCAGAGGCTGACGGAGACACCTCCCCTCTCACACGCAGGCGCGGCATATGCGCAGTGCAACCAGCCTGCCTTCTCGTGCTCGCGGTCCACCTTGCCCCCAATGAAGAGGTGGTCGTGCTCCGCACCCCCCAGCGCGCCGATGGGCTGCCTCGGGCGGCCCCAGCTGCGCATGAGCAGCGGGGCGTTCACGATCGGCCGGGCCCCTCCATCCGACTCGGGAAAGAAGGTCAGCATGGCTGCGCGGGGGCCCAGGGGCTGCGGCTGCGCCTCCTGCGCCACCAGGGGGTCCAGGACGCCCTTCAGCGAGCGGGTCCGCCGCCCCAAGCCTGCTTCAATGTACACTGCGACCTCGATCATGCTAAGCTTGAGGTCGCTCGCGACCTGCCGAGCAACTTTCGCTGCCCCCTGCAGCGAACCGAAGATTCGATGCTGCCCGCGCGAACCAGCGGGCCCTCCACGCCCGCGGGCGCGAACGAGCAGGGCAAGAACGTGCGCCACCTGCTGCGCGCAGCTCCTCTGGCCTCCTCTGGGCGGCTCGGGGCGACGCTGGCCCCCTGAAGCCGCCCCTGGCTGGGCTTGGCTCCGCGCCGACAGACGGGGGCCTCAGTCGCCGCTGGGTTCCACCTCCCGGCGCCACTGCACAACCCCGGAACCTCCTGCCCGCGGAGGAAGCCCTGAGCCGCCGCAGAGGCCTGGCCTGGCGCCGGCGGGGGCGGCTCGCTCCCGAGGACGCGGAGCCGCTTGCTGCTACAGCAGGCCACCTCGGCGCCGCTGCACGCGCGCAGGCGTGGTCCCGCCGCACTGGCCCCGCTAGGCGCTCGTACGCCCTGGCTGCGCTCCTCCATCGCTGCC